GCCAATTCAGAAATATTTTATGGATCTAGTAAGAGGTGTTCACTATTGTCTAATAAAGTGCCCCGCCACAGCATGATACGCCCATCAAATATTGTGCGATAATCATAAATTGGTTAGGGTGCAAGAAAATCAAGTAACCTTGATTAACAGATTGACACAGATTTCAATGATCTAATTTCCATTTCTTATCATGTTTAAAATATTGTACATAAATCTCTAAAGAGACTTACAGTGTAGGGATTAATTAAAACAAATAATACATCATATAATTCTAAACTGGCTGTCTTAGAGCTTAACAAATATCCATCTGCAGCTTTAAATTGTTTATTAATGAGTTATTGATATCAATACACCCCCCCCCCCAAATATCATCATCTACCTTGCGCAAAAAGTACCAACCTTGATTATCCTGTTCCTCAGAGCATTATCTCTTTAGACTATAAAATTCTACGTGAGACATGACTGCAATTTGTTGCAAATATATAACAAGAGGCCCATGGGCCACATCGCTCACCTGAGTAGAAATTGTTTTATTATTGAAAAGTTTAAATCCAAAAGTAGTCCCATGACCAATCATGGCTTGGCTATTCTTGAGAAGAAGATTTTTAAAGAATTTTCCTATATATTTCTATGTAAAACTTTGGTTGGCCATTTTGGCCCCGCCCTATCCCCAGGGGTCATGATTTGAACAAACTTGAATCTACACTACTGCAGGATGCTTCCATATAAATATGATCAATTATAGCTTTGTTTTTCTTGAGAAGAAGATTTTTAAAGAATTTTCCTATATATTTCTATGTAAAATTGTGGTCAGCCATTGTGGCCCCACCCTACCCCTGGGGGTCATTATTTGAACAAACTTGAATCTACACTACCTGAGGATGCTTCCATATAAGTTTCATCCTTCCTGGCACAGTGGTTCTTGAATTTAAAGAAGATTTTTTTTATATATTTTCATATGTATTTCTATGTAAAACTTTGGTCGGCCATTTTGGCCCCGCCCTACCCCGGGGGTCATGATTTGAACAAACTTGAATCTACACTACCTGAGGATGCTTTCATATAAGTTTCATCTTTCCTGGCACAGTGGTTTTTGAGAAGAAGATTTTTAAAGAATTTTCCTATATATTTCTATATAAAACTTTGGTCAGCCATTGGGGCCCCGCCCTACCCCCGGGGGTCATGATTTGAACAAACTTGAATCTACACCACCTGATGATGCTTCCATATAATTTTCATCTTTCCTGGCACAGTGGTTCTTGAGAAGAAGATTTTTAAAGAATTTTCCTATATATTTCTATGTAAAACTTTAGTCAGCCATTGTGGCCCCGCCCTACCCCCGGGGGTCATGATTTGAACAAACTTGAATCTACACCACCTGAGGATGCTTCCATATAAATATGATCAATTATGGCTGTGTTTTTCTTGAGAAGAAGATTTTTAAAGAATTTTTCTTATATATTTCTATGTAAAACTTTGATCGGCCATTGTGGCCCCGCCCTACCCCCGGGGGTCATGATTTGAACAAACTTGAATCTACACTACCTGAGGATGCTTCCAAATAAGTTTCATCTTTCCTGGCACTGTGGTTCTTGAGAAGAAGATTTTTAAAACATGCCACCAAATTTTTATTAATTCCCAATTATCTCCCCTTGAATGAGGGCGTGGCCCTTCATTTGAACAAACTTGAATCCCCTTCACCCAAGGATGCTTTGTGGCAAGTTTGGTTGAAATTGGCCCAGCGGTTCTTGAGAAGAAGTCAAAAATGTGAAAAGTTTACAGACGGACGGATGGACAGACGGACTACAGACAAAATGTGATCAGAAAAGCTCACTTGAGCCTTCGGCTCAGGTGAGCTAAAAATTGAAATGTAATTTTTTTTCAATGAACACATGTATTATTAATTTTAATTATATTATACTATACTAATTCAGTTTTAATCATACACTAAAACATCAATTTGTTTTAATTACATTATACCAATTGAAAGATCTTTATCTGAACCACAGCCATCAAGAACTCTTAATTAACACAAGCAACTATAAGGCCATTTCTTTTTGCCCAACTCCCAAGAGATAAATTAAGCATCAGATAGATCTAGATATGCTCTTGCCAGTTAACTCCCGACAATGAACTCATTAATTATTCTCTAATTTGACATGCACATTTCTGTTATCAAAAATTCTCCTTGACCAGTGCTTGATAATTATGCCCATGGGACAAACTGAATTCCTCTCAAATCATTAACATTTGTTACAGAATTTGCTGTAAAGTATTTAATAAAAAATAAGTTTTTACTTAATTTAGCATTTTTTAATAAGGATACAACTATATTTTTACATTTTTTAGGATAATGAAATTTAAAATTTTAAAGACTTAGTTTTTAAAAAAAAATCACTTAAATTAAAGGTCACAGTGACCTTAAAATAGGTTGTGACACACCGTCTACCCAAGATGCATAAATTGTCCAAGTTTGATGATTGTAAGTCTAATTTATAATAGTTTTCTAGTTATGAGCCAAACAAAATCACAAAATAAAAAAGAAAAAATGCCTGTAAAATGCAGAAAAGTCATTTAATCACGATGAAAATCCCAGGTGCACACCTTCATATGGTGAATAATAAGTGTATAAATTTTCAGACAAATCCATCCAACAGTTTCTGAGAAACGGTCCGGACAAAATCTTGTCTACAGACAGACGGACATGGTGATTCCAATATACCCCCCTAAACTTCGTTTGCGGGGGTATAATTACAGTCATTTTGAACCAACAGAAAGTTTTCATTTTTATTTTCCCACGGTTGGTGAACAATGGTGTAAAATTCTTTTCTTAAATGAACATGATGAACAAGAAAATTTTAATTTACAGTATTATTTAATTGTTATTTAAACAGCAAGTATTGAGTAAATAATAATCAAAATTTTCTCTCTGTAAGATGCACATTTTGAAAAAATCTAGTTGGGTCTCATTTTTTATATTTCAATTTGTCCTATGTACTGTAATTGCAAGCCATATGAATTACAATACACTTTCTATATTTTGATATCACAGAATTTTGCTGTTTGTTTGGAAATAAAATAGAAGTAGCTGAGATGAACGAAAAGTGTATAAATTAGTATATACAGGAACCCTCATCATTTCAATGAAAGACCCTTCGATCATTACAGACCTTTCCACCTTTTTTTTGCATTGATTGCATGTTGTTTACCATGCAGTGTGCTCCAAAACTTGTTTTGTGTTTGAGCATACTATAATATAGATGGTTAAGTCCGACAAACTTTTGATGTACATGTACCTTAGTTATCATATTGTTCTGTGCGATATAGCATTTGTGCAAATACTTAGTTATAAATGGAACAAGAAGCTTTGATCTAACTTTCTGCGAATTTCCAATCGAAGAAAATTGACTACCCTGGAGTTAAAGCTACTCACTCCTTCTTTTTCATGACTCCCTAAACATGCTAAATGTAACAGTTTGACATGTTGAATAAAGATTTTTTGAACGACCTCATCATTAATACAAGTTACCTACAAAATTTGTTCTCTTTGTCTATTGAATTCTCTAATTTCTCGGTGGAAAATTAATAAGGGATTACACGGTTTTTTTTTTTTAATCATATCTGTAAATACCTCATCTTTGTTAGAGATGTTTCTACACGTTGCAATATTAAGTGCACCATCAAATATCAAATCATTTTCTGGCAGATCATTCTTTGGACATCCATATCTGTTTCTCCTGGACTTCAAAAATGCCTGATAAATATCCTCTTCACTGTAAACACATGTGGCAGAAGATCCAGAAGAGTTAGTAAAAAGGGCCACAAGGTATCTTTTTCCAGTCACAGAAACAAATGTTCCATGCACAACACTGGTGTAGTTGGTGCCATCTTTTCCAGAACAAGAAATAGGGATGTCTTCATAAACTTTCTTTGGATCTCTACCATCAATGGACTTACAAATTTTGACAAGCTTAGCTTGGGAGTTTTGATTCACCAGCAGAAAAACAAAATCTTCATTTTCTATTGCAACTCTGAAGTCCATTTTCACTAAAGTCAAATGATCTTTTCCTAGGAAAATATCAAATATACCAACTTTATCAAGAGATGCTGAAAAACTTCTTGCTGTGAGATTTGGTAAAGCAGAAAAAATTACACTTTTCTCCAAAGTTGGTGAAGATATTGGCAATTTAACATAATTTTTTGCAAACAACAGTAAATTTTCAAAGGTCTTGCTTTCAGATATCATCACACTAACATTTAGAAAAATGCCTACAGCTGAAGCATCTGGTTCTGACATAACCTGAATTACTTTACTAGCAGAAGTATCATTCCAAGTCATTTTATTTCTTCTGATACATCGTCCTCCATATAAAGTGCTACAGGTAATCAAACTGTCTGGAGTTACCACCATTACATAATTGTAATCATCTTTACAGTACTTTTCTCTGTACTTTTCTTCTTTTGGAAAACAATCCTCCTTTGGGCGAATCTGTTTTGACACTACTGTTTTGCCATCCAAACCTAACCTATACAAGATATTTTTACCACTAGCAAAGAAATTGTTACTCCAAGGATCATACTCAATATTTTGCAGAGGAAAATTATTCAAATGATTTTCAAATATTATATCAAACTGTTTGTTTTTCTGTCCTCCCACTACAACTGTCAGTAAAACACTGGTGACAACAAGTCCTGCTGCTAATGCCGCCATGACTGCTTGATCAATTCAGAGAATTGTGGGATCCCCCGTAGATCTTGAATTCTAGTTTTCTTTATTCCACCAGAACATTTTCCCATTAATCAGCTGTTTTCTCCTCATATTTCATTATCTGTAAAAATAAAAAGAATATTACTATCTATAAGATAGGGGGTAAACACTTTAATTAAACAAGAGGCCCATGGGCCACAATGCTCACCTCTCATTGAATAAATATGGCCTTTCTGTTCTTTATCAACAGATTTCTTCTTTATATATTCCTATATATGTTAGATTATGATGATATAGTGTGCCCCCACCCTACCACCAGCAAAGTTACAGTTGTGGTGAATCCTATATCATGCCCCAGCAGTCCTTATATAAACCGACTGTACAGACAATTTTAATATATATTCCGAGAATGATTCTTCAATAATCATGGCTTAAATTTGCTATTCTTGAGATTTTGTAGATTTTTCTCTATTCATTCCTGTGTACATCCCATGTAAAACTTTGATCCCCAAATTGTGTTAACTTAAATTTTAGCTTAGATGAGTTAAAAAGAAATCCCTTGGTTTTCAGACCCTGGCCCCGGGATCATGAAACAGATTAAGACTTCAGTCAAAATTTCAATTATCTATAAAATCTGATACAAAATCGGAAAGCATTTTCATTTTGGGCTGCTTCACATCTAAAATATTTCAGCATCTAACGCATTTTTGACTTAAGCTTAAGATGCTTCATGATCCCGGGGCCTGGTCAAAAAAAGTTGAGGAAGGAAGGTATATTTTACATAATTTACTTGTACACAAAGGAAGGATTTCTATTTTAGAAGTGAAATCTTCCTATTCAATTTATCATATTTACTGGTGCTGTAGATTCCTTATTTTATGCTAGTACTTATTATTGCAAATGGACTCTTCATAGGGAAATCACTAGAATAATAATTTGCAAATGGACGGATGATCAATAGATTTTGCATAGATTTCACAACCATAAAAATAAAGGCGAGTAATTTTATTTGGTGTGCGGTGCTTCTCGTGAAATTACGCGATAATTAATTCCACATGCATGTTTAGGAATCTACAGTATAATCCTTGTATAGACCCTGAAATGCTCTATACTTTCCCTTGTTTTATAAATTGCTATTTTTCATGTACGTGTCACAAGGCGTTTGGCATGTGCTGACCATTTGTCCTGTGTTCACAGAGCTTTGTGTTCACCATTTATTATGGAATCTACTCATGTTCAACATTCATAAAACATTCAGCATTCAAAAATTCATCATTTGTTCAGTATTCAATCCCCAGTTGTTTAGCCTTTATGTCTTGATTTTTTTTTATTATGTCATACCCGTTACCTTAATATACTGTAGACGTACTTTTTCCACGGGGTCATAATTCCGCGGAATCTCAATTTCTGTTTAATCCGCGGGTACAAAATTACGCGGATTTTCTAGAGTGTCACTATATATGCCTTACATTTATATTATGTACGCTCGGACAAATTTCCGCGGAAAAATTGTGAGCGCTTACATAGCGTAAATTAATACCACGCGGAAAAAAATACTTCTACAGTATGTTTTACCATAGAAGATACCATGAGTCATGCCATGGTCACCGTCAGTCTACTTTGAATTTTTCTGAATCATACAGAAAATTGGTCTTAAAATTTTGCCTTTTAAATTTTCACCAATTCTGAATTTTCTCCTTTTGAAAGAGGTTGTGGCTCTTGATTTGAACAAGTGTGAATCATATCTTATTCCAAGGATGCTTTGAGGCATGTTTGGTTGAAACAGACATAACAGAATTGAGTTGAAATTCAGAGATAGTGGTTAAGAACTGAAAAAAGTTAAAAGTATTTGTATCTTTGAAACTTAGGTGAGTTGAATTCTTGATAATTCAACTGGAATTAATGTACCAGGTAATTTTCTCCCAGCAAAGGTCCAGGAGCTAAGGGGGCTTTGGGTGGGGACAACTGGAATTGACATGCGAGGTCTCATGTAATTTAAATCCATCAGATACCATTTTTTAAATCTATATATTCATTTCTTAAAAATGTAAATATACAGAATCACTGCCTTAAGTTTGTTGCGTATGCCATGGAAATCATTTATATTTGGAAACGTGGGATAATTTATACATAAAGGGTTTTACTACACTGTATCCTGCCAGATGTTCAAAAGAGAAAAAGACACTTCACAGTTACTTTAACTCCACCCTGCTGAATCAGGAAGTCAAAAGCTTCTTAGAAATCTTCTTCCTAAATTTTTATACATAAAAACCTCCTAATGGTAGTAGTCTAGGTCAACTAACTTAATTGCCATATCTTTCCCATTTGCTTCCTTCTTCTATGACCTCTGGCTGACACATACCCCAAAAAGGTGAATCACCGTAAACATGGTTTAAAGGGATTCATCATATCCCATTATAAATTTCGTGTGGGTTATTTTTTTTTTAAATTTTCACACTTCTTGACTCTTACAGCTAAATACCACTTTCAGATTAGTTATTTTATTGCCTGCTCTTCATTTGCAGTTTTCCACTTAACTGCAACTTGGCTGATGTTCATATGTGTTTATCAATTAACACCTCAGACTGATAGATCATAAAGTCCCCTAAATTTGCCAATTTTTTGAAAGAAAATCAGAAAAATTTTATACTGATCTTATTAAAATACTTAACCTATAAACAGTTGAATTCCCTGCAATACAAACTTCTACATAAATGTAAACAATTGAAAGCAAATAAAAGTCACTGAAGATCTTTTTCTATAAAAAAATATCCATCCCTTGTCTTCAATGAGGTAACTTGAAATTAAAGTTTCTGTTGATGACTGATGTAATACTGAAATCAAAGAAAAAAGTCTAATTAAGTAATAAGGAGACTGGGGAAAGTATATAATAATATTTTGATATACTGGACAAAATGAAAATGGAATAAATATCCACAATGATGTTTATAACAGTTAAAGTTTGATAAAAGTATAATTCACTTAGAAATTAAAATTGCTTAAGCATAGGCAATATGTTTATCCCATTTCTTTTCTTTTCTGACTCTTTGTCACGTGTGATCAGGTCATTGCCTACATAGAGTCAAATACTTATAAACCTGTAGTGTATTTTTAATGTCATAAAAAAAGCTATGAGCATTCCAACATGTAGTTCATATATGGTCATAATTCCAAATTTTAAATAAAATATGTCAAACAAACATGTGACTCAGCTGGTGACCACTTTATTGAATTAAGTATGAGTTAATTACCAAAAATCCATGTTATGTTCATTTTCACTGTCTTCAAATTATTGCAGATCTTCGATATGATTCTACCGATAATCTTAATCACAAGACTTCATGTACAAGGGGCCCTTATTTCCTGACTATTGAAAAACACCTAGGGGTCGCTTATAGGGGCAGGGATGGTAATACGGAATACAGTATTTACAACAATAAAAAATCTTTGACAATATCTAACTTTTTCACCAATGAAATATTTGTTTTGTTTTATTTTTTTTTTAAATACAAATCATATAGTCAATCAATATGTAATGCAAATGGTATCTCTGAAATGGACAAATAAAGTCAGGAAAATTTAATCAACAAGAATTACAAAAAAATAAAATAGTATAATCTATCGGTATTAAGAAATTAAAATTTATAGAATTTCATAAAATTTGTGTATAAACATCCTGCAAGTTATTTGTTTATGAATGAACCCATGGATCAGGCATATTATAATAAGAAATGTAATATCAAATAGAAGTAAACTTTACCCTTTTTCCCAAAGGTATTCTATTATTAAGTTGTTTTGATAGATTAAAACCCAACCCTGTTGGTCTGGTATATTTCACATCAGATTTATATTTCATTTGCAGTACCTATTACACCCCTATCAAATTTTCGTCCTTTTACAAACACAATAGGGAATATACCCACTACATGTCAACAAAATAAATCATTTTTAACTTCATACACAGGTACATTCATACAGATATGCACAATTTGAAACGAAAATAAAACCACAATGACTATATACATTTCATATAAATAGCTCTTGTATTTAAATGTAAATTGTGCATGTTATGTTTTTAATGACCATACTTATTCATCATTTTCTTGGGAACAGAGGATTTGTACATGTATACACCATTATTAACATATGGAGAAATGGTGTTCATTCTGCTCATTTGCAAATCAGCTATTTTGCAACTATAATGGTGGCCGATTCCATAAAGGTTCATATAGAGAAAATACAAAAAATCGCAATTTTTCATATCCTACCTATATCGGATAAAATTCTTCTGCCAATGGTTTGATTCCTCCTTATGTTTTCTACCAGATATGACAAAATAAGTTTCTCAAATATACAATGTGAATCAAACTCCAAGGTCAAGAAATAAGAAATGCTGGTGTCCAACGGAAGGTCTAAATGACAACAAAAAAATCACCTGTAAGCTTTATATAGCTCCAATCAAAACTTTAAAAGTTGTGGCCATGCTTAAAGTTTTTCAAAAGTATGATAAACTCCAAGGTCAAGCTCAAAGGGTCAGAATTGTTGAATCAAAGGATTCAGAAAATAAGCATGTGTAATATGAAGCCAACATCCACTGTTCAAAATGTATTACAAATTTTAAATTAGGTCATACTCCAAGATCAAGGTCAATTAAAGGTCAAAATTGTAAGTACCCCAGAGAAGTTATTTTAAGAATCAAGAAATAAATATGTTTAAATGTATTGCTACAACCATTCAAACCTAAAATATGGGAAAAGTTAAAAAAAATTTCAATATATAGTCATACCGTAAATCTGGAAATTTTTGCTGTATATAAATTTTTAGCAAATTTGTGAGTTCATTGCATTCGCAAAAATATTTTTCTTAAAATAATTCAACAATAAGAAAATGTAAACAAAGTTGTGGACATTCGCAAAATTTTCAGACGTAAAAATTAATCAACAGAATTTTTACCCAGATTCGCAAAATAAAATCGACGTAAAAATTTCTAGATTTACGGTATTAAATGGGTAAAATTTAAAAGTCATGGTGAAGAACGATCAAAAATACTTTTAAATACTTAAAGGGATAAAGAACTTATAGTCATAGTACCAACCTTTCAAAAGCCGTGGCCAAGGTTAA